CACACCGATAACCTATCCACGTCATCATTTACCCAGAATGCTTTGCGTGTAAATAAAATAGCCCTGTCCATGTTAAAATATATTTTTGAAAATGTACAAAATTAAACAGCCTACAGTATTTTTACAGTCTTTATTTTATAGTTAAAGTATACGTTTATCAAATAAAGTCTAATGTTACAACTAATCGGGGATCCCTTTAATCTATCGAGTATTGCCTCAGCAGTTTAGGGTCATCAACCTGCTGGAGGATTTTGCTCCATCTGTTTTTATTTATTTAACACTGACCAATTTCCCAGTTCCACCTCCACATCATGATGCTGACACRGCCATGCTTCATGCATGTAGGTTTGCTGTGSCGGCATCATCTTTGCATTTTCTAATAACAGCTGTAATGGAGCTCTGCAGGATGTTCAGGACTCTGAGAAACTCAGCATTTTGCTTGGAAACTGACTGTGATGCGTGGCTTTGTGTATGTGATGATTGTAGCTTAAAGCAAAGGTTAATACACATACACCAATGTTCCATTTATTATTTAATGTTTTTAATTTTTGTTCTCATTTATTGTCTTCAGTATAGAGTAACTTGTGTAAAATTATTACTCAGAATCAACTGATGTTTTTTACTATTATGCATTTAATTATTGCTAGTAACTGATTGTTGTGATATTAATTTTTTTCTTGCAATAATAGTATTTTAACGAGTCTAAGATCAAAAGTCCACAGGCAGTGCTGCGTGTGTGTTCTGCTTCATGCAGTGAGTTTTTCTCTGATCCACTTAAACTAAACCAACACCTTGTTTTTACCTGTCAGACGTGAACATGTTTACTGTAATCACATTTCACAGAGAGCAGAGCAGGCTAAGTTAATGCCAATTTATCAGGCCTTTCTCCTAATGGACTACTAAAAGGATGCACTCTAAACCTGTGTAAACACACACACACACAAACAAAGTTAATGTTATGGCCTTTGAATCAATAGCCTTACCAGGCTTTGTCCACTGAACCTGAGGCTCAGCTGCGACTCTCATGCTGTGTTTATGCTCAGAATGAATACGCTATTTTTAGTAGCACGGAGGAAACCATTGAAGAAAAAGGGGGAGTCTAATCTTTCACTCACTCTTGCATAATGCCACACCATGCACACGTTAAAACTGCTGCATATTCTTTTCTAATATTTTTACTTGCGTAATTGTAAAATACTTTATTTGTCTTGATCTATCTCGGTGTTTAGTTATCACCTGCCACTGAAAAGGTTTGTTTGTCWGTAGCTTTAGCAAAAATAATCATGAATCAGTGGACMATTTTTCAATGAAGCACTCAGAAAGTACTCACTGAGCGTATACGAAAGATTAACCTTTGGAGTTTAGCTCCATTCAAGGTGGCTGCAACAGCCTACTGACCTTAGAAAACAGGAAAATAGCTACAACTCAGTCACTTTTACAGATATTGAGCTAAAATTTGGTGTGGTGGTAGCTGAGAGTCATTCAGAACATYCAGTGTGAAATCTATTACTTGTGAATGCACATATTATTTTCCTTATTTAAAGGAAACAGCTCTAATTCTTTGATTTTTCGGCACAAGGTGATTTTAGTTTAGACTCTGACATGAGAGGCGGCATGCAGAGCTTCTAAACGTTTATGTTTTAACATTCAGAAGTTCTGCTTTAATGGGATGTAAGTCACACACATTTGAAAATCTGAGCAATCTTCGATGTGGTTCACGATGAACTGATGAGTGAAACAACCAGTTCTCCTTTCCAGAGCAGTCGTTTGCTCTAATTAATGGTTTGCTGTTCTGTTCAGGGACGGCTCTGTACCAGCTTCTGAGTCAGTCGTGTAAATAATGGGATAAATCAATACTAAATGCTTTATGGATTTACATTTTGACACTCTCATGTTTAGATGTCAGTTTTAGATTTCACAGTCCATCAAATGTTCTTGCCTTTGCAGAATTCTCTTTGTTACATCTATACACTTCCTGTCACACACTTTGTGGAAGAAGAATCTCTAAAGAATAAATGTTAATATGTGTGTTTGACTTGTTGGTATTTAGGGAGACCATGAAAATGACTTTCATTTGGCCTTGAGGAGGTTCTGGCAAACCATCAGAAAAGGAATATGTTCCCTGTTCCAAAATGTTTGGTTTGGGGTGGGGAACTGCTGATCCAAACTGAGGATATTGATGAGTGGAAGGAACATGTTGAGGATCGCCTCAGTCCWCTCTCCATGTCCGCTTTTGAACAGGCAGAGTTTGAAGACTTGGGGGAAGAAGAGTCCATTACCATAGCAGAGGTCACTGAGGTAGTCAAAAAGCTCTTTGGTGGCAGGGGAACCAGGGGTGGATGAGATGCTGAAGGCTCTGCATGTTGTGGGGCTGTCATGGTTCATACATCTCTTCACCATCGCATGGTGGACTGGGACAACACCTGTGGAGTGGCAGACCAGGGRGGTGGTTCCCATTTTTAAAGGGATCCCCYATTAGTTGTAACATTAGACTTTATTTGATAAACATATATTTTAACTGTAAAATAAAGACTAAAAATACCGTAGGCTGTTTAGTTTTTATCATTAAAAAAACATTTTAACACAGACGGAGCCATTTTATTTACACGCAAAGCATTCTGGGTAAATGATGACGTGGATAGGTCCTCTGTGTGAGCGAGCTATATCCACCCTGAAGGTTAATCTTGGACAATATCTGATGATCGACTCTTTTAAATGAAACCAGAGAGRGTTGACAGAGAGGAGAAGGTAGAAATGACTCAGCCTGTAACTGAAAATATGGATGGAGGACAACAGAGCTGCTTCATGGAAGAAGAACCTCAGCTTAGCCTGTTAGCCTTTGTGCTAGCGCCGACGCTACAATGCTTTATATGTATTAGCTCGGTGCTAGCGCGACAAACTAATAAGCTAAACTGAGGTCCTCCATCCATATTTTCAGATGCAAGCTGTCATTTTTTTTGTTCTCCTCTCTGTCATGTGGATGGAGGACCTCAGTGATGAGAGGAGAATGTGTAGCACTGAGCTAATACACATATATGGTGATACCGTCGGGGCTAATGCTAAAGCTAACAGGCTAAGCTGAGGTTCTTCTTCCATGAAGCAGCTCTGTTGTCCTCCATCTATATTTTCAGTTACAGGCTGAGTCATTTCTACCTTCTCCTCTCTGTCAACGCTCTCTGGTTTCATTTAAAAGAGTCGATCATCAGATATTGTCCAAGATTAACCTTCAGGGTGGATATAGCTCGCTAGCAGCCTCGCACCAAGGACCTATCCACGTCATCATTTACCCAGAATGCWTTGCGTGTAAAGAAAATGGCCCCATCCGTGTAATATATTTTTAAACTTTTAGTTTAAAAATTATAAAAACTAAACAGCCTACAGAATTTTTACATTCTTTATTTTACAGTTAAAATATATGTTTATCAAATAAGTCTAATGTTACAACTAATCGGGGATCCCTTTAAGAGGGGGAACTGGAGAGTGTTCTGATCATGAGAGTACACTTCTTGCCCTCCCTGAGAAAGTTTACTCTAGGGTGTTGGAAGGGAGTCTGTGATAGACTGTCGAACCTTGGATTCAAGAGGAGCAATGTGACTTTTGTCCTGGTCGTGGAACAGTAAACCAGGTCTTTACCCTTGCAGAGTTACTAAGGGGGTCATGGGATTTGGGTCTACGTGTATCTTTCTTAGTTGTTACATCTTTACGTACCTGCCCATTCTCCATGATCTGTTGATCCGCTGTGACGAGAGTTTGGAGTGGTGAGGCCAAAACTGTGGAACAAACTGCCTTTGCACATTAGACAGACATCCTCCTCAGCTGCTTTTAAATTCTGGCTTTAAAACTCATTTTATTCTTGGTTTTTGTTGCTTGTTAGGTGTTGATTTTGTGGTTTTGTTTTTTAATATTTTATATTACAGAGTTAGTTGTWCTTTATTGCTGTCTGCACAGCACTTTGTTGTAAAAAGAAATGAACTAAATGTTATTTCTGCTACAAATAGATTTAGATTTTTCAACATAACTAAGAAGGCCTGTTTGATCTGCTCAGCATTGTTTCACTGCTCAGAAACATGTCTACTTTCAGCAGAKTGACGTTTAAATCTGCTGATTCAAGTCYAAGTCATGCTGATGTCACAGCTGARYTGATGTTGCTTTTCGGTGCGCTAACAGACAAAAGCTTCACTTGTTCAAAAATCATCTGRCAGCTGCTCGTTGGATCATGAAGTAAAAAGTGGTGGATGTAYCTTGCAGGAAGACCCGAGAGGGTTGTCCTTTCAGACACACTGCATTCATGTGATAGGGCTTCGCTGAAAATGTTGTGACATCATCGARCACATGCAACTCAGATTGATCAAGATTAGGAACCAAACAGTAGTTTTATTAAAGCAAACCCAGTCAGCTCAGTATAACACAGATCTGATGTGCTGAAAAGAGAATGGGAATATGTCATTTACAAGGATGAGCTCTGTTAGGAAAATACTAATCACTTTTTGACAATGGAATCAATTAGGAGTAAATGGGATGATGTGGGATATGGGCACCACTGACCCACGCGGCCATGAAAAGAATAAGCGTGTACAGAAAATGGATGGATGGATGGGGGATGATATGTTCAGTCATAATGATGAAATAAAATATGCAATCGTGGGACAACTTTTTCATGAAACTTSGTTTTGTTGAGGTTTATTTGCTGCTTACATTACTTTCTTGTTTCTCTGCAGGTAAAGACAGCTCCTGCACAACAACAGAGGTAAGTAACTACATTGTAATCTCATTGTGCATATTTCATATCAGCATGCATATTTACAAGTTAAAACCATATTTCAGTATGTGAATGTATTTATCCCTGCAAAGTTTTTAAGTATCTCCTGTGGGAGAGGGACTATAAGCCCAATGGTAGTTGGAAAAAAGCAAGCTTAATTAGTTTAAAAAGAAAAAAATTGTATAGGTCTTCTGGACGGGTTCTTCTCTAATGAAACGTTTCGTCTCTCCTCCAAGAGACTTCTTCAGTCTGAGAG